TTTTTTTTTTAAGGGGGGAAAATCATCGAATGACTGCCCCCGCCTGGGTGAGGCGGGAGGGAGTGTCAGACTCTTACTGACTAAAAACCACCCCGTTCCTTCTCCTGCACGTCGAGCCGGAGCCCCGGTTACCCGTTAGGTTCTCCGCGACTCCGAATCGGCATCGGCCCTATTGGGCCCCATCTGTGGTGGTCTGATGGCTCTTTGAGGCGCGCGCGGAACGCGACGCGCCGTACGCTCGGGTCTGTTTCTGGTCGGACGGGGAGCCACCCATGCTCGCCGTCCGCAGGCCCGCGCTTACGGTGGCCGGAGATCGTCCCGCGATCCCCGACGCCCGGTGTGTCCTTCGCGATGGCTGGGTTGCGAGGAGGCAGCGCTTCGCTGCCTCACGCGTCCCGCCTCCTCCTTAGCTAGCATGACTGCTTCGCAAAAGGAGGAGACGGCATCCCAGTCCCCCTCGCTCCGCATCATGGCCTGCACTAGGCCCGGACGCGAGAGGTCGCCATCGCCGATCACTTCCCTGAGGACACGGCGGTGCTCAGCCCACGCAGGGCATTCCGCGACAGTGTGTTCCACCGTGTCCTCAGGGCGAATCAAAGTTTAGGAGTGGGGGCTGAATGGTCAATTCTTAGTATAAAATGTCCTGAGAAGTGACGTCACGTAACATTTCAAATCAATATATCTTCGAAACTATTCGTTTCCGTAAGAAAATAAAAAAACGTGTCTAATGTTTTTAAATAATCTACCAGAGGAACATTAAAATAAAAATTAGTTGTCTATAAAGGGCGTTTGATCACTCCTGGTGGTAAACGAAAACTCCAAACGTGTTAAATTGTCTCACCATCGTTCATAAACCATTACGGTAACCTATTTTTGGGACTACAATATAAATGCATAAATGGATTTACGCAGTTTCTGCTCTGGGCATTATTTTTGTGTAAACAATTTTCCTTATAAAGGAAAGCTAAAAGCCAATGTGCCAGGGATTACAATGATAGAGGCGAAAATGAAAATCTGTTTGTTTTTCTATGAAAGGACGGTTTGCGGGGAATTTTGTTATAAAAAAAAATTAATAAAAAATGTGTTTTCTTTTTTGACTGACACGTTGGCCAAAAAGAAAATGAATCTTATTTTTCTTTTGGAGTCTTTTTTTATCAGATTATTTTAAACTTCTATTCGTAAGACGTAGCTTAGAACTGTCATCATCAACAGTCTTTAAGTGCCCACTGCAAAGCAAAGCCTCTTCTGAGAAGGTTTGAGCATTAATCACCACGGTTGCTTAATGCGAGTTGGTGATTTAAAACTTTTAATTAGAAATTATAAGCCCAGGTTTTCTGAAGATGTTTTCCTTCACCGTTTATCAGTGGTGGTTAAAATATCTTAGAAAGTACATATAACTCGGAAAAAGTCACATTGGTACTTGCCGTTGGTAAGTTTCGAACACTCGTGCATCAGAAGTGGATGTCTTATACCTCATAACTATAACAACAACTAGTTAAAAGTAACTATTACATTTTTACACATTAAAAACAAAAAAATATATAATAAAAGTCCATCTTCACGGTTTAAAATATTTCATGTAATACATAATTATAATGAAGCTGTAATGTTCTTTTTTTGAGACGGAAGAGTCAAAGTCAAAGCATTTATTTCAATTAAACCATAGTCTGGTACTTTTGAAACGTCAACAAACGTCGTCAAAGAGTGTGGCGATAGTACTAATCAAGTTGGTTGTCAGCTTTGTGGGAGTAGCCTCACGGCTTTTTTTTTTTTTTTTTTTTTTAAGGGGGGAAAATCATCGAATGACTGCCCCCGCCTGGGTGAGGCGGGAGGGAGTGTCAGACTCTTACTGACTAAAAACCACCCCGTTCCTTCTCCTGCACGTCGAGCCGGAGCCCCGGTTACCCGTTAGGTTCTCCGCGACTCCGAATCGGCATCGGCCCTATTGGGCCCCATCTGTGGTGGTCTGATGGCTCTTTGAGGCGCGCGCGGAACGCGACGCGCCGTACGCTCGGGTCTGTTTCTGGTCGGACGGGGAGCCACCCATGCTCGCCGTCCGCAGGCCCGCGCTTACGGTGGCCGGAGATCGTCCCGCGATCCCCGACGCCCGGTGTGTCCTTCGCGATGGCTGGGTTGCGAGGAGGCAGCGCTTCGCTGCCTCACGCGTCCCGCCTCCTCCTTAGCTAGCATGACTGCTTCGCAAAAGGAGGAGACGGCATCCCAATCCCCCTCGCTCCGCATCATGGCCTGCACTAGGCCCGGACGCGAGAGGTCGCCATCGCCGATCACTTCCCTGAGGACACGGCGGTGCTCAGCCCACGAAGGGCATTCTCCCACCGTGTGTTCCACCGTGTCCTCAGGGCGGTCCTCGCAGTGATGACACCCGGGCGTTTCCTCCCGCCCCATCAGACACAGGTACCTCCCGAAACTGCCATGTCCGGTGAGGACCTGCGTCAGGCGGTAGGTGAGGACGCCGTAGCGTCTCTCAAGCCACTCCTCAAAGAGGGGACTTACCGCTGCGATGGCAGCGAGCCCAGCCCTCGG